GCGTTTTTCATATAGCTTTGATTACTTCATCTGAAAACTCCCTATTGATATCCTTTGACAATTTATCAATTGGGGAATGACTTGTATTCTTATAAATTTGGCTCCGTTTTTTATATATTGGAGAAATGAGGCCTTTATCAGAGAAACTTGCTGCAATTTTTTTCACAGTTATCATTACAGTTATCATTATCACAGTTATCATTCCCATTCTATTTTCCCCTTTTATCTTATTCTCTCTCCTTTCACCCTGTCCATCCTCAAAAGTGTTTTGCCTCTGACTACCAACTCCCCCAGTCCTTCCTGTCTTCTATCAGCCCTGCCCCTTTCTCTTACCCCCTTCCCCTCCTACTTCCTTGTAGGCTAAGATAGCTTTCTATACCCAACTAAGTGTATGTTATTTCCTCTTTGAATCAATTCCAATGAGAATAAGGTTCAAGCACTGCTACCCATCCCCACATCTTCCCCTTCATTATAAAAGCTTTTTTATACCTCTTTTATGTGAGATAATTTACCCCATTCTATCTCTCCCTTTCCCCTTCTCCCCATGCATTCCTCTTTCTCACCTCTTCATTTTATTTTTTTAGATATTATCCTCTCACATTCAACTCACACCCATGCCCTTTGTCTACGTATACTCTTTCTAACTGCCCTAATAATATTAAAGCTCTTAAGAGTTATAAGTAATATCTTCCCATGTAGAAATCTAAACAGTTTAACCTTATTGAATCCTTTATGATTTCTCTTTCCTGTTTACCTTTCTATGCTTCTCTTGAGTCTTGTGTTTGAATGTCAGATTTTCTGTTTAGCTCTTGTCTTTTCATCAGGAATTCTTGAAAGTCCTAAGTTTCATTAGATATCCATTCCCCACCTCCCACCTCCGAAGGATTACATGCAGTTTTGCTGGGTAGGTGATTTTTGGTTGTAATACTCTCTCCTTTGCCCTCTGGTATATCATAGTCCAAGTCCTCTAATCCTTTAAGGTAGAAGCTGCTACACCTTGTGTGAACCTGACTGTGGCTTCATGATATTTGAATTGTTTCTTTCTGGCTGTTTGCAATATTTTCTCCTTGACCTGGGAGCTCTAGAATTTAGCTATAATATTCCTGGGAGTTTGCATTTTGGGATTTCTTTCAGGAGGTGATTAGTGGATGCTTTCAATTTCTGTATTACCCTCTGTTTCTAAAATATCAGGGCAGTTTTCCTTGATAATTTCTTGAAAGATGATGTCTGATGTTTCATTCTAATGGTAAAAACTTTATAGTGGAATTTATTTTCAAGAATTGTCAAAAGATATATAAAAAACAAAAACAAATATTTGTTGGACTTATTTTAAACAATCAGACAACCATTGCCTAGTCAATTGCATATGTTTCTATGATACCAAGTCACCGCATGGGGCCATGATGGCTAAGTCTGGACAATGAAGGATGGCTATTCTGGGCCCTTCCCTAAAATAGAGGTTCAAAGAAGATCTTATCAATGAGCAAGGGAACCTTCATGAACTCAGCAAGGAGGTAGCTGAGGGGATGTGAGGTAATTCATAGAAACACAGATAATAGTATATTTCCTTGCATGTAATAAGCATCAATAAATGTTTGCTGATTATTATTGGAAAAAAAAATAAAGATGATGTCTAGGCTCTTTTTTTGATCATGGCTTTCAGGTAGTCCAGTAATTCTTAAATTATCTTTCCTGGATCTACTTTCCAGGTCAGTTGTTTTTCTAATGAGATATTTCACATTTTCTTTTCTTTTTTCTTCTTTTGATTTTGTTTTATTATTTCTTCATACCTCATGGAGTCATTAGTTTCCACTTGCCCAATTCTAATTTTTAAGGAATTATTTTCTTCATGAGCTTTACTACTACCTTTTGCATTTGGCTAATTCTACTTTTTAAGGAGTGCTTCTCTTCAGTGGATTTTTGTGCCTCTTTTAACATTTGGCCTATCCTGTTTTTTAAGGTGTTACTTTCTTCAGTATTTTGTGTGCTTCTTTTACCAAGCTGTTGATTCTTTTTTCATTATTTTCTTGCATTGCTCTCATTTCTTTACCAATTTTCCCTCTACGTCTTCTAACTAATTTTAAAAATCCTTTTTGAGTGCTTCTAGGAATTATTTTAGGGTCTCAGACCAATTCACATTTTTTTCTTTGAGGCTTTGAATGTAGCAGTTTTGACTTTGTTGACTTCTAAGTTTGTGTTTTGATCTTCCCTGTCCCCACAGTAATTTTCCATTGTCAGATGATTTTTTTGTTGTTGATATTTCCTCCTTTTTCCAGCCTATTTCTCGACTTTTAAATTGATGTTAAAGTTGGGCTCTGCTCCTGTGTTGGAGGGGGCACTCTCATGAGCTTCAGATTCTTTGTGCAGCTATTTTCAGAGCTATTTCTGGGGATCTGTAGGTTTTTAGTTCTTTTAAAGTGGTATGATCTAAGGAGAGATGTGTGTATTGCTCTCCTGGCCTCTATGAGTGACCACAAGCAGTCTTTTCCACCTTGGAACTGTGACCATGGTCCCTGCTCCCCCATGGTCACAAGCTCTGGTGTGCTAGTACTCTTCCTCACCCTGGAACTGTGACCCAGGACTGTAATCCAGATCCATGCATGAGCTATGCAAAAGAGTCTTGCACCCAGTGCCAGAAAAGCAACCCCTATAATTTCCTTCTGATCTGTTGTCGGGCCCACTTACCATCTGTTGCTGCTGATTCAGTGGCCCCCAAGACCTGCTGCTGTCTTGCCTGGGCATTGCCTGCATGGACAGCAATCTGCTCTCACATCAATGTGACAGACCTTTCCTACCAACCTCCTGAGTTATCTTGGGCTGGAAAATTGTTTCACCCCATTCTTTTGTGGGTTGGGCCACTCCAGAATTTGTTTTGAGGAATTATTTTTGAAGTTACTTGGAGAGGAATTTGGGAGAGCTCAAGTGACTTTCTGACTTCTCTCTGCCATCTTGGTTCCTCCCTCTCCCTTTCAGGTGCTATTATTAACCCTATTTTTATTTATTTTTTAGTTGGCTTTCTATAGTTCTGTCAGTAAACTTCATACAATCTGTTTTTTGTTTTTGTTTTTATTTTGTTTTGTTTTGTTTAGGCAATTGGGGTTGAGTGACTTGCCCAGGGTCACACAGCTAGTAAGGCCGGATTTGAACTCAGGTCCTCCTGACTTCAGGGCTAGTGCTCTATCCACTGCACCACCTAACTGCCCCAAACTTCATATAATCTGAAAAAAAATTTCCTCTTTGCCTATGCTCATTTCCTTAATTTCCTTTCTCTTACCATATCTAGCATTTTTAATACTGTCAAATAGCAGTGGTGCTAACATCCTTGCTTTACACCTGATCTTACTGGAAAGGCATCTAGTTTATCTCCATTTTATATAATGCTTGCTCATGGTTTTAGATAAATATCACTGACCATACTGAAGAAAGGTCTATCTACTCATGTGTTTTCTAGTGTGTTTTTTTTTTAAATATAAAACAGAAATGGATGTTGTATTTTGTCAAAAGTTTGTTTCTGCAACCATTGATAAAATCATATGATTTTTGTTGTTCTTGCTATTAATATAGCCTATTATATTTATAGTTTTCCAAATATCAAACAGCCCTGCAATTCTATATAAATCCAGCCTGGTCAGAGTTTATCATCTTTTTGATAGGATTCTTTCAATTCTTTGCTCGTGCTTTATTTACAAGTTTTGCATCAGTGTTCATTAGGGATATGAGTCTATAGTTTTCGTTCTCCATTTTGATTCTTTCTGCTTTAGACATCTAGACCATATTTGTGTCATGAAGAATTGTGGAGAACCCTCTCTTTTCCTGTCTTTGCAAGTGCCTTGGATAGTGTTGGAATTAACCATTCTTTAAAGATTTGATAGAATTTGTTTGTATATCCATCTGGTCTTCTTTTTCTGTTCGTTTGTTTGTTCATCGGTAAAATGGGATTAATCATAGCCCTCATCTTGTAGGGTTAATGCGAAACTCAAACAGATTGTGTGGATAAGTGCTCGGCAAAGTTAGAGGCATTACGCACATGCCAGTTATGATGATAAAGTTGTTTCCCTGATTCTAACCCTTCAGTGGTTGCCTGTCCCCCCAGGATAAAATACAAGCTCCTCCCATACAGGGTGATTTGACTCATCCTTCCAGGCTGTCTGCTTGGCATTCTAACCAAACTGGCTCAAAGCGTGGTGCTCCACAGCCTGCCCTGGCTGCCTCTGTGCCTGGATGGCCATCCCTCTGCCCCTCTGCCCTTCTGCCGCTCTGAGGGTTGGCTTCCCTCACGGATCATCTCCATTCATCTAGCTTGCCCTGATCCCGCTCCCTCCTCCAAACACTTTCCACGTAGAATGGAAGCTCTTGGAGGGCAGGGGCAGCTGTGCCTCTGTCTCTGAGTCCCCAGCACCTTGGGCAGTGCCTGGCACAACGTAGTGGTTACGACTAAATCTCTTGCACTGAATTGAATGAGTCTGGCCGTAGTGAAGCTTAAAGAGGAGGCCAAGTGACAGTCAGGAGCACAGTCCTCTGTGTGTATGTGTGTGCATGCGTATGTGTTTGTATATGTATGTGCATGTGTGTAGATGTATGTGCACATGTGTGTATACACTTATGTTGTGTGTGTGAATCATTGTGTTGGCATGTGTGTGGGGCAGTGCCTATGTGTATATACATATGTGTTGTGTGGGTATGTGGTATGCGTGTGCATGTACAGTGTACGTGTACACTGTGTGTACTTGTGCATGTGTGTTGGTATGTGTGGGGCATGTATGTATGTGGGGGAGCAGTGCCCAGAGTGGGGGGCAGAGTCTCATTTTCGGGGTCACAGGTTCAGCTCTGGCCTGGCTGCCAGTTTTGCAACAAGACAAGATAGCCTCCTCCATGGCCCCTTCTGGCTCGGGCTGCCCAGGGCTGCCTGTGCCTCCCACTGCAGCTGAGGAATGCCAGGGGCAGCCTCTTCCCTTTGGTCAGCCCCCAGCTCTGGACAAATGTTGCTCCCTCTTTCCCAGGATTGCCCCAACCCCATCCTCTGTGCCGCAGAGCAGATGCTTTTGCGCCGGGCACCACCATGTGGACCAGACATCCTACTCTGCGCCTGTTCCTTTGGGTGGCTGCAGTGACTCTCCAAGTGCACAGTCAGCGGAGGAGGGGGCCAAAGGGAAACCCGTCATCATCATCCAGGAGAGGTGACCCGCAGGGTGAGAGGATTTTCTCTTGACTTTCTCTAGCTAGCTAGTAGGATGCCACGAGGTTCGGAGAAGTCTCAAGGTATGCAGTAACTTGCCTTGGCTCTCATCGTCTCGTTGGGCTGCCCAGTCCTCGCTGCCCAGCAAGCCTCCTTGGGCTCACCCTGTCTCAGGGACTTCCAAAAGAGGACCTCCCAGAAGTGTGTGGTCTGAGGAGCGGGCAGACTGGGGTTTGCCTGCTGAGCATCCTTCTGGGAGAGGGCCACCTCCCCCCTCGTGGGCTGAGGCTCGGCAGACTGTGGTTTGGTGTGTTCCACCTTCTTTGGGCATGGGCAGGGGAAGGAGGGGATGAGCCTCTGTGCCTGGACAGGGTTTTGCAGAGCTGTCTGGGCCTCCTCTGCACATGCAGGGCTGCCTCCTCCCCCACTCCTATCTCAGACAGCCCCATGGCCTCCCTCCAGGAGGTGGCTCTCTGGCCTCACCCGCTCCCCTCTTCCTGTTCCAGGCTCCACCTGCCTCATTGACTTGCTCTTCATTGTGGACAGTTCAGAGAGCTCCAAGATCATCCTCTTCGATAAACAGAAAGAGTTTGTCACTAGCCTTAGTGACAAGATTTCCCATTCACCTCTGAGCTCCTCACGGGAATACGATGTCAGGCTGGCGGCGCTGCAGTTCAGCAGCTCTGTCCAAGTCGACCAGCCCTTTGCATCTTGGAGAGGCCTGCAGAGCTTCCAGCAGAAGGTCGGGTCAATGAACTTCATTGGGCAAGGCACCTTCTCCTACTATGCCATCTCCAATGCCACGCGCCTGTTTCAGAAAGAGGGCCGCGATGGTGACGTGAAGGTGGCTGTGCTCATGACCGATGGCATTGACCACCCTAAGAATCCTGATGTCCATGGCATTTCAGAAGCAGCCCGGAATCTGGGCATCTCATTTATCCCCGTTGGCCTTTCCCGGGTGGCCAATGAAGCCAAACTTCGGCTGATCTCGGGCGATTCTTCAGGCAAACACATTCCACTATTGAGTGACCCTAACGCTATCGAGAATGTACAGCACCAATTGGTAAGTTAGTGATTCATTCATGCACTCTGGGCTTCTTCTGTGTGCATGGGATGGAGCCCTGTGAGTCAGAGATGGACAGGCCCCTGCTGCGCTCAGCTGTGAACCTGGTCTCTCTTGGCAGCAGAGGGAGGAAGAGGGTCTCTGCCTCCTTCAGAGGTGTGACCACACGTGAGAGTAATCCAGGGTCTCCCGCGTCCATATTACCAAGTGGCTTTCCTGGCTGAGTATCGCCAGTGCTGTCAGATGGTGGAAGGGTCACTTCCTTCCATTCTGTGTCCTCTGGGACATCCCAGACCAAAGATCCCTTCATTCCCACTGCAGACAAGGGCGGGAACTGTTAATCCTGAGAACCTGACCCAGCCCTCACCGCCTCCTCCTCCATGCTTATAAATCTCATTATGCTCTTCAGTACATGCTACAGTCCTCTTGGCCTTTGTTCAAGCAGGAATAACACTGAGCCAACTTGTGTTCCGCTGTGGCTTTCAGGTCTTTCTCAACTCTACCTGGATGCCTTTGCCCTGACCACATCTTTGGGAACTTTGGGGCATGTTTTACCCCAAAGCATTCCTCCATAGCCTGCCCTTATTACATTCCAGGAGTTTTTAACTCCCCTTCATGGTCCATTCCTTTGCTTTGATTCTAAGGACCTCACTAATTTAGTGTCCCTGGCAAACTGTAGCCACCAAAGAGTCCATCTGTCTATCTTTTTGAGTTCACTAAAGGCTTGTCTGGCCTTGGCCTTCCATCACCTGCTCTCATTCAGAGTAGCCCTCACTGCCTCTGCTGTGCTAGACAGCAACGGACCCTTCATTCCAAAGTGTCACATAAGCTGAGAACCTGTAGAGATGAATCCTGCTAGCCATGACCCTCTTGCCTCTGGACTTCCATTTTCTGAGCAGAAAAGGGGTGCCTGTCATGACCCCTTTGCTTCGCCCTTACGCAGGGTGTGCTGGTAAATGCTGAACAACTCCAAAAAAATGTACGCGTGACACATTAGAAAAATTCATCATTTACATTTTCTCCATCACTTTCTTAAGTCTAGACAATGAACAGAACAAAACCAAGCCCAGATGTGCAGCATTGCTGATTTCTGAGGTGTGAACGCTCTCACTGAAATGTTGTTTTGGTTTTGTTTTTTTTTTTTGCTTTTAGGCAATTGGGGTTAAGTGACTTGCCCAGGGTCACACAGCTAGTAAGTGTCAAATGTTTGGTCTGAGGCCGGATTTGAACTCAGGTCCTCCTGACTTCAGGGCCGGTGCTCTATCCACTGCACCACCTAGCTGCTCCCTGCTCTCACTGAAATGTTAACAAACCACTCTCCTGAGCTTGGGGAGCTGCCTCCAGCCCAGCCTCCCCCCCCAGGGAGGTCAGGCTGCCCTTTGGGGCCCCTGCTTCCCTCCCTCTGCTCCGATCTTACCCTCTCCCGGGTCACAGAGGTAGGAAGGCCTCTGGGAAGAAGCCGCCTTTGTAGTATGTCTGGCCTCACAGAACTCTAGGCTGAGTTCTGCTTACTCTATACACTTTGCCTGGCTCCATGGTTTCCAGTAAGGGTTGCACAGGAGAAGCAGATGAGTTTCTGTTCCCTTCCATTCCACCCCACTGCCCTTGACCACCTGTTAAAGACTCTGGGAGCCAGGAGTCCCTGTGCACAGCCACCCCTGACCCCAGCTGGCCCCTGGCTCTTCGTTTCCACATCATCCATGGTCTTCTGTGAGTATGAGGCTTGTAACCCTCTGCGAAATGATCGACTCCCTCCTTGGAAACACAGGGCTTTGCCTAGAACAGGCACTTAATGGATAATATAATTTAATTTAACTCACTATTGCACACTTCTCATCCCAATTCAAGTGGAAAGGGCATGGAATCTAGAGTCAGAAGACCTGGGTTCAAATCTTGACTTTGCCTCTTATGCTTGTGTGTCTTTGGCCAAGGCATTCAACCTCTCTGGGCCTCAGTTTCCCCCTCCATAAAAATGAAGGGTGTCCTCAAAGATGCCTTCCAGCCCTGAATCAGTGAACCGTGAGCTGAGGCTTGTGCCTTCCCTTTCAGATTGTATGGCTTGTCTCCCTCCCAGACCCTCCCTTTTGCTTCCACCTGACCTAGAGCCCCTCCATAACGCCGTCACTGTGGGATGAGTCCTCCCCACCTTCCTCCTCACTGCTCCCTTTGTTTATTGGCCCACGTTAGCTTCGGTCTCCTTTCTTAGATGCTGACCCTTCGCAAACAGCTGCCGCAAACCCACCCATTCCAGGAAGCGCCTCTCAGCCAGGGTTGGGCTCCTGCCCACACTACTGGTTCTTAGCCATCTACACAGGACAACCCGGCCCTATAGCCACCACACACACACACACTGCCCCATGGACCCTGGAGCTGGGCAGACTTCGTGCTTTGTTGGAAGTTCCCTGGTCCCTTGTGTACCTCACTGCCAGTGGTGTTGTCATGGAGATGGTGCATTCAAACCTACAGGATTTTACAGGAGACCCCTGGATTTTCATATTTATTTGGCCACCATTTTATTATTTCAACTGCAAAATCACAAACTTTGCAGACCCCCAGACCTAGCAGGGACCCATAGGCCCCCCCCAGCCCCAAACTAGAGTACCTTGGACAAGAGCCCAGGGGCCCCCGCCCTCTCCAGGCAGCCATGTGGTTTCTGGACCCTTTCCTTTCCATCACAGGGAGTTTCTTCTGATGTCTTGGGCTGTTCGCTTGAGCCACTCCTCGGTCAGGGCCTTGTGGGGTCTCTGACAAAGAGAGACAAGGAGCATAGTCTCTGAGAGGGTAGATCTCTGCCTGCCTCTGTGGACCAAAGTGGTCTGCATGTGGCTGGCTCGCCTTGAATGTGGATTTCACCTAGAATTTCCATTGCTTGTGGCTGGAGAATAAGCAGTGATGTCTCCTGGTCCCTGAGCAGGCTGGGATGATGACCATGGAGGGAGTGACTGGAGCCTTGAAGCTTTTTCTTGGGGAGTTCTCCAAACCCCTGGTGGCCCCATGGCCATTGCTCTTTCCCCTCTTCCTTCTGAGCAGCCTCTGGTAGGGGCTGGGATGGGGGGATGGGGGCAGTGTGAGACAGTGGAAAGACTGCTCTTGGAGTCACAGGACGTGAATGAATGAATGAATGAATGAATGAATGAAAAATGATTAGGCACTTACTATGTGCCAGGCACTGTGCACCAGGGATACAAATAGAAGAAAAAGACAGTGCCTACCTTCATGGAGCTTACAATTTAACAGGAGAAGACAGCCCGCATGGGGAAAAGGTGACCAGGGAGCGAGCTGACTTTTGGGGAGCCACAGCGATGGTGAGCTGATAGATAGGACAGGCCTGGTAGGGGCTATTGATTTGGCTGCCAGGCCCAGAGCAAGAGCTGGAAAGTGGGGACCATCTTCTACCCAGCAGATGCCTGAGGGTCTGTAGCACTCATCCTTCATCTGCTTGGGCAAGGGCAGCGCCACTTCCCAGGTTAATGTGTTTCCTTTTCTTTTTCTTTTCAGGAAACACTTTTTGATAAGAAGGTAAGCATGACCTACCTGCCTTCCTGTGCCTTCCCTTAGCACACTGGCACTTCCCTCTAGCACTGCCCATCAGGCAGCCCCCAGAAAGTGCTACCTCCCAGGGGGGATTCTTCCTGTGACTTGGAAGAGTTTTCTTCTGTTCACCATTTGCACAGACAGATCTTGGCCTCCCCTGACGGGGCAGAGAAGGAAAGTGGGCAAAGGGAGAGTGCAGAGAGAGGGACCGGGATCCCCTGGCATCCAAGGAAGTCCCTGTACTCTCAGACACTGTCTGGACTGAGACCTGGGCCAAGCTTCTCCTAAGCCCCAAAGAGCACAGAGAGAGTGCACCATGTTTCCACACTCACAGAACCAACCAAGGAAGGCAGATCCAGACCCCACTTGCTCTCTTGGCCACCTCTGCCAGAGTGTTGGGGAACAGTGTAACCACACACACACACACACGTATGCACAAACATGCATGCACACGTGTGTTCATACATACATGCATGTGTATGTATGCATATACATGTGTGCATGCACACACATACACACATGTGAGGAGTCACTGCAGCTGCTCTGCAGACCCCCACCCACGAGTCCTACTTGCTTCTCTCCTCACCAAAATCTCTGACTGGCTGTGGGAGCACCTCAGGGCTGCCCAGCTAAACCAGCCCCAGGATGGAGGAAAGCACCTGGGACATTCCTGGCACCGGGGGTCACCTGACTCCTACATCCTCTGTGCCCTGCCCATTAGCCATCCGGGGTGGGGAGGAATTTGCTGGTTGACCTCCAGTTATGATGCACCAGAAAGAAAATGTGTCCTTTGTTGCACATCACTTAGAGTGTGAAATACTAGGTGGTGCAATGGATAGAGTCCTGGACTGGGTTCAAATCCCGCCTCAGATATTTACTGGCTGGGTGACGCTGGGCAAGTCATTTAATCGTCAGCTGCCTCAGTTTCCTCAACTGTAAAATGAGAATAATAATCAAATCTATCTCTCAGGCTTGTTGTGAGACTCAGACAAGATATAATAATAATAATAACAATGGCTAGCATTTATATAGAATTTTAAAGCTTACAAAGTGCTTCACAAATTCTGATATCATTTGATCCTATAACAACTCTGGGAAGTAGGTGCTGTTATTTTCTGCATTTTATACTTGAGGAAACTCAGGCAGAGAGAAATGAAATGACTTGGCCAGGTCACACAGCTAACAAGGATGTGAAGCTGGATTTGAACTCAGGTCTTCCTGACTCCAGGTCCAGTGCCCACGTGACACACATAAACACGACATTTAGAAAGTGCTTTGCAAACTTTAAGGTTCTATACAAATGCTGGCCACTTCTGGCATTTCAGTGTGGCCCTTCTGTGTTTCAGTGTGTCCAGAAGTCTTGTGAATGTGAGAAGGGGGATCCCGGGGAGCCAGGACCTCCGGTGAGTATCTGTCTCCCTTGGACCCTAGGGCGGGGTGAGGGAGGCTGCTCAGGAATGATGGAACCCAAGGGTTGTCGCCCAGCTTGGGGTTTTCAGTAGCAGAGGAACCTGCGAAGCTTCTCTTGGGAAAGAGCTTGGGGCATTTGCACAGAGCTAAACTCAGGGCAGATGTGGGGAAATGGGGTGCCACGTTTCTTCACCGGCTTCACTGTGGCGGAAGGGAATAATAAACCGAGCTAAATCGGCTTGCCATAACGCCTTAGATAAACACCGCCCCCCTCCTCATGCCCCGTCCCCCCCCCCCCCGCCCGTTCCCGCCCTCCTCACAGCCTGTCAGAGTCTCCCCTCTTCACACCCGCCCCGCCCCGCCCCATCTACTCACACCCCTTCCCTTCCCCCCCCTTACCCTCCTTACCTGGAGTTTTAAAACAAGGTAAACTTACACTTTAGTTAGACTCAAGCCAAAGAGAAGGAATATCCTGACCTTTCTGACCAGAGAGGATGGGGTTAGGGGGCTGGAGGAGGGAGGGAAAGAGCGCCAGATTTGAAGTCAGAGGGCCTGGGTTTGGATTCTGGCTCTGCTGACCACAGTCATGGGTGACCTTTGGCAGGTTCTTCCGTGTGAGCCTGAGTTCTCACCTCTGTGAAGTGACAGGGCCAACAAGATCACTCTTAAGGGTCCCTCTAGGCTCTAGGAGCAGATGACCCAGGATTTGGGGAGGCAATAGGAGCACTGGGGAGCTGGGGAGGGAGGGCAGACCCTTGTGAGGTTGCCTACCCCATTAGGTGTTGCTGAGGTGAGGGAGTCCAGACTAGGAGGCCCCTGTGCTCTGGTCCCCTCCCTCCTCACCATGTCCACCTGGCTCACTTTCCAGGGGGTCACATAAGTGTGCTTTTGGCTGCAGACCCAGAAGGAAGAGGCATTCCTTCCTGACCCCTGGAGAGCATCCTGCTGCTCACTTGGGGGCCCCTCGCCCTCTGGGGGGCCCCATCTTTCCAGGCAGGCTGTTGCATAATCGGGCCCCCACACCCCTTCTGGTTCCAGGCGAGAACTAGTCTTGCACTCAGCCAGGCAAGGAGAGAACCCCTGTTCCTAATGATTTTTGTTCCCCGCACAGGGGACCCAGGGCTATCCAGGGAGCAAAGGTGAGCGAGGACCAAAAGGCCAGCTGGTGAGTCTTTCCTTCAAATTCAGTCCTCCCTTCCTCCACCATCTCCCCTTCCAGTTGTATTTAAAACACAGAAGCCCAGGACAAAAAACAAAACAAAACAAAACAACAAAACCTCACATTCTCTTGGAGCTGCCCAAAACTTGGCTTTTGGGAGAGCCCTGGCCCCTGCTGCCCAAGTGGAAGTCCAGCTTGGTCTCTCCTGAATGCCTGTTGGGCTGCTGAGGGCAGTAACTGGAAACAAAGCTGCTTGATGAGGAAGGGTGGGGGTCCCCAGATGGCCTCCAGAGCCGTGGGAAAGCAGCAGATTGAGAGAGATGGTCTTCACAGCTGTCTCCTGTCCATGCTTAGCAGACCTTTCATGGAAACCAGCAAGGTGGCATGTAGCTCGCCCATCCACTGCCAACTGCTCCAATTTCTCCTTGTTTTTACTGAGAGAGAGCTTAGTTTTTCCAAGAGTTTTGGTGTGGGCACCTGCCTTGTGCACATATTTGAAATGCTCAGGGTTTTCTTTGTCTTTTTGGGAGGCTGGGCATTCATTCATTCACGTGTGTATGTGCGCACGTGTGTGTGTCCGTGGGCCCAGATCATGAATGCTGATACTAACGCAGTGCCACAGAGGAGATGCTGCTTGGCTCCTTCTGTCCCTGGGGCTTTGGAGGACCTCATGGAAATCATGCCCAGGTGTAGCCATCTACATGGGTCCTCGGAGGCCAGGAAGCCCCTGACACCATGCAGGAATGACCTGGGGCATGAGGTCATCCAGGCCCGACGGCTTTGCCTGGGCTATGACTGTCCAGGGTGACATGGATGACTCTTCTGGTCAGGTCAAGGCTGCGCTTGGTGCATGGTGCATGGCTCCCGCCCTTTGCAGGCAGCAGGGTGACTGGTGGGGGCTGTGGGGGCTGAAGCTTGTCTTGCTGGAGAAGGAGGCAGGCATTCTGAAGCACTGGCACCTCTGACCAGGCTGCTTTTTGTGTGACAGGGTGATGCCCAGAAAGGAGAGCCCGGAGAGAAAGGCCCAGGGGTAAGTCCCAGCAGGCCACGTGCTGACCTGGGGGGAGGGGCTGGGAGGCACCTGAGGCCAAAGGGCCACTCTGTCCAGTGATCTCAGGTTCAGGGTCTGGAGTCATGGGCATGAGGTGGGAATGCGAGAAGGGGAGGCGGAAAGTCCCTTTTTCTCCTCACTCTCCCCAGACACGGGTCCCTGGCCCCCCAAGCAACTTGTTGGTCCATTTTAACAACCACGGGCTTGGAAGGAGATTGGTGCTGGCTCTCACTTATAATCTCCCTCTTCCCTTTCTTCTTCAGGGTGATCCTGGGTACAAAGGAGACAAGGTAAGATGTTAATGTGATCAATAAACTTGGAGTGCAGGAAGAAAAGTGACCATAAGCCTCCCAGGGAATGCTATGGGATCCTAGGGAGAGAGTTGGAAGGGACCCTAGAGGCCTTCATTTTACAGAGAAGGACACTGAAGCACACAGCAGGCAAGTGACTCGTCCAAGGTCACTCAGACAGCAAATGGCAGATCTAGGATTTGAATGAGGTCCTCTGCATCCAAGCCCGCTGCCTTTGCACCGACCCTCATAGCCATGGGCATTCCACCAAGATGGATGGCACCCCCAAGGAGGAGAAGCCCTTTTCTGACAGAAAAAAAGAAGTGAGGACAATCCTTTCCTTCACAAAATTAGCCTTTAACACAAAAGCTGTTCTTCCAGATCTGCTGGGCCAAATGGAATGTGCGTTCTGGGCCAACATTTATGGCCTCTCTGGGGCTGGCTCTTCTTGCTTCCCTTTTTGGAGACTGACTCATCTTGTTCCCCTCACCCATGATCTGATGGCTTGCTTTGGGGCGCTGGCTTCTGAGGGACGTTTTCCATCTGAATCCTGCATTCAGTGTCTCTCAACTTTATTCTCCGTGGGATGTGGGAGGAACATGGTGCAGATGGCTCCGTCTGGCCTGGGCAGAGCTGGCACATTCTAATGCTTGGGACAGCTCCCTTCTTTTTCTTTTTAAAGTAGTATCTATTTTTAAATTTTTGAGCTCCAAATTCTCTCTCCCTCCAGCTGCTTCCCCACTCACTCATTGAGAAGGCAAACAACATGATATCAATTACACTGTGAAGTCGTGCAATACATTTCCAGATTGGCTATGTTCAAAAACAAACAAGAAGGCAAGAAAACTAAAGAGAGTGAAAAAACAAACCTGGGATCCTCTTGACTCATTGCATCAATTCACTCTCTGGAGATGGGAGACTTTTCCATCATGGGTCCTTTGGATTTGTCTTGGGTGGCTGTCTTGATTAGAGTGGCTGAGCCCTGGCCATGGTTACAATGTGGCTGTTACTGTATACAATGTTCTCTCGGTTCTGCTCTCTTCACTCTGAAACAGTTCATATATGTCTTCCCAGGTTTTTCTGAGAGCGTCCCCCTCAGCATTTCTTAAAGCACACTAATATTCCATTATAGTCACATCCCCCATCTTGTTCAGCCATTCCCAAGTTGATGGGCTTTGCCACCACAAAGAGAACCCCTGTAAGCATTGGTGTACAAATAGGTCCTTTGATCTCTCTGGACACTCAGCCTGCCCCTCCTCCCCTCTCATCGAGGGTCCACAAGCGGCCCCCTTCCCCACCACCAACAGAAGAGAGATGCTGGGGGCAACTCCGTTACCTGCTCTGAGCGTCTGATTCCTTGTCCACAAAATAGTAACAGCAATAAACAGCATTTTACAGCACTTGACACAGTGCTCAGCACACAGCAGGCACTTCAAAAACATTTACTGACTGACAAATATCTCATTTGAGCCTACCATAATCCTAGGAGGTAGGCACTATTATGCCCATTTTGCAGATAAGAAAACTGAGTCTTAGAGCGGTTGAGTGACTTGTCCAGTGTCACCCAGGCTCTGAACCTATGACTTCCTTACTCCAGGTCTTCCCATGCTCCACGTACTCCACCTTATTATCGCCTTCTAATGGACAAAGAAGGAAAGAGTCAAGGAGGGGACAGGGCTGATCCCTCCACCCTCTGGTAGGAGGAAATATGTGAGGACAGAGAGGGGAAGACCACTCTCCCGCCTCCCTCCCAGTTTTCTGTTCTCCAGGCAAATGTCTCTGCTTCCTTTAGCTGCTCCTCACAAGGCAAGGTCTCCCTTCATCTCCTCATTCTGGGGGCCCTTCCCTGGACCAGCACCATCTTCTCAGGGTCCTCCTTCTGTCATGCCCAGGATGAAAAAAGGATTCCAGCTGTGGCCCCACCAGGGCAGAGGGAAGGGGCAGATCACATCTCTCGTTCTAGATGCTCTGACTTTTTATTCAGCTTCAGATCACAGAAGCCTTGGGTGGGTGCAGCTGCCATATTGTCCTGTTGATTCATCACTGAATTTTCAGTCCCCTAGCATCCCCAGGTCTATTATGACTTTGCTGTTCCCCATCTCGTACATGTAAAGTTGATCTTTTGGAACCTATGTGTAATGCTTTTGGGAGGCAGTGTGGTGAGCAGATTGGGGCATGGAGCTTGGAGGCAGGAAGAGCTGGGCCCCTGCAGAGCCTCTGACCAGTGCTGGCTGGCCAGGTCATCTTCAAAGTGTCTCTGAGCTGTCTCTGAAATGGTGACATGCTGGATGAGGCACCTCAAACGTCCCTTTCAGCTTGAAATCTGCGTTCCCTGTTCACTGTCATTTCATTAGATGCGGCTGCACTACAGGCTGTAGAGATCCTCTGTATCCTGACTGGCATGCATGGAAAGACCTCCAGTTCCCACCTTGGGCTTCCACTTTTATTCTCTGTCTTTGAGTCAGTCACAGACCTCTCTGGGCATCAGTGTCCTTGTCAGTAAAATGAGTGGCTTCAGGCTAATATTTCACTCACAGATTCAGAGCCAGGTTATCGAGGCTTTCACAAGGCATTCATGAGAATGCAGAGGCTTGGACAGAGCCCCAGGGCAGGCCTTTTGGAGATGGTTGTTAAATCTGCTTTGAATTCACTCACCCATCCCCTCTTGAATTGGCTGGTCTCCTCTTCCAGAGCTGTGGGTGACTTGTACCTATTAGCACAATTTTTTCTTTCCCTGGGGGACAGGTAAGGAAATGTGGGGATCCCAGTGCTGGGGAGGAAGGAAGAGCTCTCCACAGCCCTCTTCGCATGCTAATACAGCACAGCTTAAGAATAGCAGTGCCAGGAGGGGAAGCTAGGTGATGCAGTGGATAGAGCACTGGCTCTGGATTCAATAGGACCTGAGTTCAAATCCGCCCTCAGACACATAACACTAGCTGTGTGACCCTGGACAAGTCACTTAACCCCATTGCCCAACCACCCCCCCACCAAAAAGAAAAAAAGAAATAGAGTGGTGGGTCACTGGGACAGATTAGGTACATAATACGCAGTAGTAAATGACCATAGTAATCTAGTGTTTATAAATCTAAAGAATATCAGTGCCAGTTCTGAGCGATGATCAATGTTACACTCTTACTATTCCTCCAGGGTGAACGAGGAGAATGTGGCACCCCTGGCATCAAAGGTGACAAAGTAAGTAATGCTTTGACACTACTGGGGACACTCGGGCATGAGATTCCCATACGGAAGCAATCTGCGAGGGGGTCCATTTTGCTGAGCTCAACTGTACCCCTCGGGAGTGGGAGTGGGGCCACAGGACAGAAAATCCTGCTCGGAGGCCAGCACAGCTGAGGAGGCGGAGTGACACTGATCCAGTGGGCCTGCTGCCGGCTCTCCGGGGGTGAGCTGGGCCTGGGGGCGGTCAAGAAGCCAGTCACCTCACTCCATTGCGTGTGGTCAGATTGGCAAACCTCAAATCCCTACATGAAGACTGTCATCGCCATCATGACTGAGCTGAGTTCTAGCTTCAGCTGAGTCAGACTGGAGCTGACGCTTAGGTGATGGAGGCACTGGCAGGAGGCTGGAGCTACAAAACTGTCACCAATGGGCATCGAGGCTTGGCTGGGGACTATGTAAAAGCAATGACATGGTAGGGAAAGCCTAGCCGTCCCTGACCTTGGGGTGAAGACAAAGAGTCGGGGAAGCACCATTAGTGAAGATGTTTACTGGGTCAGACGGACAGCCAGAGGGCTCTCCAGCAGGAATGTTTTGTAACATCTGCTGAGAAGTAACAAAACCCCAGTGTGGGACAGAAAGGAGGACAGTTCTGAACTAGTAGCCGGCACACAGTGGGTGCTTAATACATGCTTTTTGATGGATCACTGGATGGTGAAGAACACTTAATAGCAGACTTGAGCTTGACTTCTGCACTGTGACTTCCACACTGAGCTCTCTGATGGGAAAATGGGGCAGAGGAAGAAGCCCAGCCTCTTGACATGAGCCTCCAGGACCCCTCTTGGATCAAGGTGCCCTGAAGTGGGCAGTTGGGGGCTATAGAGGCTGGCAGAGCCAAATATAAGCTATTTCAGGGCAGTTTGACCTTCTTGGAAAGAAAATTCTATTTGCAGTTTACATCAGTCAGCAGAGCTTGAGCATCGAGTGTGCTTTGCATGCATGGGAGGGACCCTGGACGAGACAAAGCAACTGTCCTCCAGATGCTCATATCCCATGAGGAGTAGGGCAGGAGGGGCTGGTACAGGCAGAGAGCTCTGGAAATGCAGGGCAGGGGGTGACTGTGGCCAAGGAGCACTTACACCCATGGCCTAGGAAATCTGAGCAAGTGCCACGCAGGGTGTGGCTGTGAGAGATGCAGGCAGTGATGGAACCGCTGGGAAGCGAGGTAGGCATTGGTGTCAGGGCATGAGCAGGCTCCTCCACGTTACAGCCCTGCAGAGGAAGTAGTCCAAGTCCTCTTGGCTTAGGGGAATAGATGACCAAAGTGCCACACCACAGCACATCCAGCTAGGTGACGGCTAGGTGGTACAGTGGATAGATCACCTAGCCTGGAGTCAGAAAGACCTGAGTTCAAATCCAGCGTCAGACACTTCCTAGCTGCGTGATTCTGGGTAAGTCATTTAACCTCTGACTGCCTCAGTTTCCTCATCTGTAAAATGGGGGTACCAATAGCACCTACCTCATAGGATTGTGGTGAGGATAAATGAGATAGTATTTGTGAAGGGCTTAACACAATGCCTAGCACATAGTAGGTGCCTAATAAATGGTTATTCTCTCCCCTCCTTTCCTCAAGCTGCTCTGCACACAGTGGGAGCTAAATGTCCAATCCAGGTGGAAAGGAAGAAAAAACTGCTGAGGTAGCTTTTACCACCATGGCCAACGAGCTCAATTCAATTAAAAAAACAAACCACCTATAAACACCAGCAGCAAGCAGTCTGCCCTGCAGGAGCATCCACTGTCCTCTCCAGAGAGGCCATGGCATGAGGAGAGCATGGCTCCTTGGTCATGGAACAACTTGTCCTTCTGTTTCTGTGTGTTTTCTTCTCATTGGGAGAAGCTCAGAGTTCTCGCTCCATAACTGCCCCAATGTCAGGTCTCATGCACCGCTGTCCTCTGAACTTGTGGTCTCTTCTTATTCTCTAGGGACCCCCAGGCCTCTATGGACCCAAGGGCCCCCGGGGACTTCAGGTAAGAGAGACTGAAATCAAATCCAGGTTGGGGCACAGCCGAGCCCTGGGCCCTCCCTCCAGTTCTGCCCTAGGAGAAATAGTTGGGTGGTCATTCCCAGGGAGGAAGATGGTGGCAACCTGCCTTTGGCCAAATCATCCAATTGGAGGATGGAAGCTGTCCAATCCAGCCTGTCCCCTGTGCAGCCTTTCCCTGTAGAAGGTGTATCCCATGTGGTGTTTTCTTCTTGTGGCTGTGTCTGGGCTCAGCATCCCCATGGAGGGGGGGTGCTTCCAGTTCTCAGCCTAGCATCCCAGGAGCCCCCATCCCCTAGGAGAGAGCCTAGTGAAGATCCAGAAAGGCCTCAGCAGCAGCTCCCCCTCTGCCAGCCCAGCGGCCTTCTCTGGGCCCCTGAGAGAGGGCCCCAAGTCTCACATGGTTAGAGTTTGCCTCTGAGCTACGGTCTGTCCTGTAGGACCTAACTCATTCTTGGTTGTCCTGTTGGGCAGGGTGTGAGAGGACCTCCAGGTGAACCAGGACCCAAAGGCTTTCAAGGGAACAAGGTAACATTAACCCTTCGAGATGCATGGACTGTGAGTTGAGAACCCTGAAACACTGAAAGAAGAACTCTAGAAATGTGTGAGTGCCCAGCACCCTGCGCATGGACTGGGAGTGGTTCCATGCGCCCTGGGCCCAAGCCTTCAGGGCTGTGAGGCACATGCTTGCTCATCTATGGCTTCATTTCCTGTGTCTCCCAGTGCCTTTTGCCCCTAGTAACACAGCTGTCATGGGCCACCTTGCTTTGTAACCAGAGGGGATGTCTGCTCCCTCTGAGCTGTTTGGGTGTGACTCAGAGGCAGATGGTGCCCTTGGTAGTAACAAGGACATTGAAGACAGGGAAAGAATGTGTTTGTTTGGGACCTGCTTGGGAAGCCCCTCTGAGGTGGCCAGTGGGCAGATGGTGAGGGGGAAAGGAGAGAGATTAGGGCCAGGCAAATAGAGCTGAGACTCAGCAGAACAGAGGGGATCAACAGCCCCTACAAAGCTTCCATCTCCTTGGAGCAGGGGGAGAAGGTTGTTACAACTCACTTACCAAGACAAGGAGCGGAAGGAGAGAGGATGAGTGAGCTTTGCCATCAGAGGTGGCCTGACGTCTGAGAAGGGTTTTAAGAGGCAGATGGATGGGGGTAGGAGGCGGGGGTGGGGGTAGGTGGTGGTGGTGAAGATGACTCCTGGGCTTGCAGGTAGGACAGTGGCAATGAGTGTGTGTGAAGGGGAGACCTGGAAAATGTCTGACCCGCTTGGCTGAGACCCATCAGCCCTAGGGAGAAGTGGGGAGCCAGCGACAGGTCAAAGCTGAGCTTTTGGAAATGTCTTTGACAGGTGTGCACAGGATGGAGAGGGGAGGAGAGAGGCGAGGCAGAGAGATGTGCAAGGATGCGGTGTGAGGAGGGCCCGAAGGGGGATGGGGCCCAGTGAGGTGAGGGAGGGGGACCAAGGTAAAAGGTGGGGGATAGAACTGACAAGGCCTGCTTCCATTGGGGGTGGGGTGGGGGCGAGGATGCAAGATGACACAGAGATAGGGGAGTGTGGGGGAGGGGTGGCTCTCGGCCCAAGTGAAGGCATCTACCTTTGGACCTCTGCAGTCAAGGTGCAGCGAGACCAGGCAAGGGAAAAAGCCTGGACAGGTCTGTGATTTCCCTGGAGGCCTGCGGCCTTGTGCCCTCCACCCCAGCATCCCTTGTGCACAGAGAATTCACAGCGTTCTTAGGAAAGATGCAGCATCCTCTGGATTCGGCCTCCCCTCCTGGCCTTGCACTGACAGAGCCCCTCTGGCCTCTGGCTTGGGGCCTTTTCAGGAAAGGTGCATTCCGCTGGGTCCAGCATTTGCCTGAACACCTAAAAAAATAAGGTCCTTCCTTGCTTTGTGTGAGGACACAGCCAAGCAGTGAGGGCTCCCCAGGGCTCTGGGCCTTCCTGACCCTGGGACCCCAAGGCCCAGAGCTGGCCTACGCAAAGCCTGAGTCAGCCTCCGAGCCCGGCGGGGAGGAGATACCGCTGCGTTCTTTCTTCGGCGTTGTGAATGGCCCCTTTCAGGAGGCACAGCTGCTCTTCTGCCTGCTCTGGGCTGCGAGGTTTCTCCATCCAGGGTTTGCATGAAAGGTGGCCAAAAAGGAACATGAGTCAAGTCTTGGAAAATGTGATCGCAGCCCCCATTTCTGGGTCTCTTCTATCAGAGATATTTTCCACATGTGGAATGTTTCTTATTTGTCCCCAAATGGTCTGGTTGCCTGAGAAACCAAACATGGATGTTCCTTATGACGGACTGGCTTCTCTGGTGAACGTGATTCTTCCATCCAAGGGGGCTCCGGAGGAATGCGTGGGCAGGGGAAGTCACTGGAGTTCGGAGAGCGGGTGTTTGGATTGGCCGGTTACCCTTCTGATGTGGGGGCTCCTTCGGAGCACGCAGCTCCTGACCTGCCTGCGCCTGTCCAGCCTGCGTGCCCCTGCCTCCGTCGTGCTGCAGGGGTCCACTCAGGACGCTGGTGCCTTCCTCCAGAAGTAGCTGGCTCCGTGTTTGTGTGATCCCACCCCTGAGGAGTGACTTCTTTCCCTGGGCCCATCCTAGATGCAGCTTTGGCATGGATGCTTTGTTTTTTCAAAGTACCTGTGAAGGGGCAGCTATTGGTGCCTTAGCTGGGATTAGATCTAAGTGCAGAAAGAGGAATCTTAGTGGAATGGGGAGCTTCCATGTAATGGATCAAGGGGTGGGGTTGATATGCCTGATCTGTGATTATTGTGGGGAAGGGGAAGGGGAGTCCCAGGTGGGTGGCCACACCCGGGGCGGGGGGACCAGCTGCCATTCTGCAGGTGACTGCTGTAGACTTCCTGAGACTTGGCGCGAATGCCGTGGAACGCCAGCTGTCCTCCTCAGGCCTGCTCTTGCTGCGTGACTGATTGATTCTGTTGCCACAGACTACTGTAGGAGAGGGCTCGTGGCTGGATCTCACAGAAAGTGGTCTCCTTCCTCTGGCATCGCAGCTTAAACTCACCAAACCGCCTCTTGGGACCCCGCATGGGTCATGGCCACAGCTGGGTGGCTCAGTTAGGAATAAGCCTGAGGCTCGAAGTCAGGAAAGGCCTGAGCTGGAATCTCGCTCTGACGTTTACTAGCTGCAGGCCCATGGACAAGTCACATCCCCTCCTGGAACCTCAGTGTCCTCACCTATAAAATGGGTACACTCCTAGTGGTAGGGCACCTTCCTCACCTGCCTGTTGTGAGGGTCAAATGAGGTGGCCAGCTGTGTCCGTTCCTCCGTGACATCCTTCCCACTTCTGCCCCTTGAGGATCTCAGGTAGGGAGGGACCTCTGTCCGCCAGCCCTGGTAGCCATCTGTCTCTGCCTCAGACTGCTTGAGGTTCAGAGAGGTTCAATGACTTATCCAGGGCCATACAGCTCATCTGAGTCATAGGGGGGCTTGTGAACCAGGTCTTTCTGTCTCCTGGTCCAGGCTTGGCACTCACTCTACGGACTGTCTCTGGATGCTTGTAGAGTGCGCAATAACCCTTACAGCTCTTGCAGCTTACAACCTTACAGCTCAGGCACCTCTTCCTGTTGTAAATAAAAGGAAGGACTCTACAAGCCCCATTTTCTGCTGAGCTGAGCCAGCCCTGCCTTCCCACCTTCCCGAGGGCTCTCTTTGTGTGAGTGGGGCTGGGCCACCCTTGTGCCTGAGTGTGTGCATGAGGGGTTGTGTCAGGTGGATGCCGGAGGCCCTGGACCCAGATAAGACACTCGGAGCACCCACGTGGGGTTCAGGCTGCTCAGCCTTCCTGAAGATGCTCTCCCACATGTCTCTGCTTTTGTTTCCCTCCTGTCTTCATTCATCCTCCCTAGCCAGATCCAAGTCCTCCCCACCACCCCGCAACCCCTCAGTCGGGGGACCGTGGACTCAGCCCCATGATTTGGCTCAGCTCCTGGAAAGCTAAGAACAACCAAGAAGCCTTTGCCAAGTACAGTCGGCTCCTGGAATCCCTTTGGGTGGTAAAGGATGGCCAGGAAATGGAGTGTCCATCCCAGATGCCCAGGGCATGTGTGTGCGCGCAATGCTTCATGCTCCTACTCTGAGTCATGGGGTTCGAAGAAGAGCTTGTGGTCTGGATTGAAGATCGGAGCCAAATTCAGCCAAGTGCAGCATATCCTCATTAGGACCCTGAGCCCCCAGCCCTGTGGGGACTGCCTGGGCAGCAGCTCCAGCCACAGAGAAAAGAAAATATTACAAAGCTACTCTACAACTTAAAATTTAGTGCCAGGTCAGGAAACCGGAAAAGTCAATCTTTAGAGAGCCGCTCTGAGTAAAGAGGCTATGTGTGTGACCAGAAGCTTCTCCTAGAGGAAGCCTGGGGCTCTCCACGATTCTTAGCCAAGTGGAATGGAGAGTGGGCTAAGAAGGGCCCATGAGCCAGCGCTGACTAAAAGCTAGCTCTGTGCCAGGCTGGTCTGTGCTGAGCTGGTCTGCGTCGATGTCCCAGGCCCACCTCTCCTTGGCTCCACCTCCCCTCCCCATGTGGCCATCCTTCTGTCCACACCTGCTTCCAGTCTCCAGGGAGATCTGACAAGGGTGGGGGGCTAGGGGCCAGGATCAGTCACAGTTCCTGGGTGATGTGTGCATGAAGTGCTTCTGTGCTGGGAACTAAGGTTCTCAGATTTCCTTTATGCCATTTTGAAAGTTCCAGTTGTTTCTGCCCCTAACACACACTGATTCCTCCTTTGTAAGATGGAAAATCAGTTCAGCAAAACCAGCTGCAAAAACAGATGAGAACAATCTGACAGCATATGCACCATTCCATCTCCATAGGTCCCCACCTCTTTCCTGAGAGAGGGAAGAATGTTTGGTCCTAGGTCCTCTGGGGGCCGGTGTCGATGAGCACATTTCACCTGAATCTAGCACCTTTCTGTTAGGGTTGTTTCTGTTCTCATGATTTTTGTCACTGTCTATATTGTTCTCCTGGTGCTGCTTTCTCTGGGTGAATCGATTGGTGTTTTTTTGAGTGTATTTTTCTGATCTTCATATTCAGAATTTCTGACAGGACGATAATAGTTATTATAATCCTGTGGTGTTCAGCCATTTCCCAGATGAAGGACATCACTTTATTTGAGGCTTCAAGCTGCCACCAAAAGTCCTCCTTCAGATCCAGCCATCTGTGGGACCTTTCTTTTGTCTGTGACCTCTGTGGGGAACACACCCAGTGGAGGGATCACAGGGGAGCAAGGCAGGGAGCCGTCATCCCAGTTGTTTTCCAGAATGACTGGACAAGCCCCAGCTCTCCCAACAGAGCCAGGCCTGGCTTCACAAACCCTCCAGCAGCCACGATTTCCTTCTTTGACCATTAAAATTCCTTCTAAATAGCATCTCAGGCTGTGAGCTTCACTTTTTTGGGGCAGGCCTAGTTTTCAAACAGTAACGGTCATGTGCGCATAGAGTGCATGGTGCCAAAAATGCCTAGAACTTTATAATGATCCTTTATTACACATTCTTCCCTTCATCTACCCCTCCCCTCC